AGGGTTTAGGGTTTAGGGTATAACATGTTATATGCAAACACATTAACACAACACATCCCTGAAGGATCCCAGCATTGAAGCATCTTGCTGATGATAACCCAGCCAGACTATAGATACACCTCTAGACAAGTAAGACTTCTCCAGCCCAAGTGCAGTCGTGTTTTCTGAGACACCCACAATGCTAGTCATCTATGACCCAGAAGCCATGACACTCGACGATAACAAAACCACCCAACCTTTAAAGTGCAAAGTCCCAAACCATCCTGAATAGCTTCAAGGCTTCAGGGCCCCTTGGCTGGCCCCATGCTGATGCGCATCAACAGGAGGCCTGGACTCCTGCAGTTATAATTAGAGCATACAGCTGCATGTGGTTTCATGCAGGGTGGCAAATTTGGACAAGCCACAAAACAGATCTTGTTCACAAACCATGAAAACCGGCGGTTGAAGGGCAAGGTTTGCTCGCTCCCAAGAGGCTGCTCCAGCAGGAATATTCCATGCACGGCCAAGATCAACACCATCAGCAGCACCAGCCTGCTAGACACGATGCATAAACTCAGCTAGGGTTGCATTATAGTACGAGCAAACAATGGCTTTGCTAACACCTGGCCGGCCTTGCAATGGTCATGGTGCCAGCATGCACTGATGATACCGAATCACGGCCATCAGGGTTGATGGGTGACCTTTGGGAGGTGCCTCTGTTCACAGTGGTCCAGCTCGAACAGGGAGGAGCCAGAACATTCATCGAATTTGGAAGCTCCCGCATCACACATGCCATCGCTAGCCTAGGGAGGTTGCAACCGATCGAACAGGTTGGTTCACTTGCATATGCTGATGTATGCATACCTGAAACATAATCGGTTCTGAGCTCTGAACGCAAATCCTCCCGGAGATAAGAAATTCATAGAGCGGCCGGTGGCATCATAAGTGCAGTCGTAGGATACATAAGATACACCAGCCTCTCGGAAAGCTTGGCTCACCCTCCCCTCGCCACTGAAAAGCTCTAGCATCTCGACTTGCATGGTCAAGTCAACATTGTCTGTCCACATCAGCAGCAGGACCTTGAACCGGAGTGCAAATATCGAAGACTCGAAATGACATGCGCATCACACTGCCTAGGACACATGCTTCTTGGCCACAATGGTATTGCAGCTGAAAGGCACAGCCAATAAACACCTCCAGGGATGGTGCATGCTTTCATAGAAATGCATGAGGGTTTAGGGGTTCGGGGTTTAGCATTAGTACAGGCTTAGGGGTTTAGGGGTTTAGGTGATTATATGTTCGCATTATCATGTATTATAAATATTATAAATTATGGTGTGGCACCTTGGGTGCCTGGAGCTGCACTAGATTTGCAACCACCGACTCCCATCTTGGGATGGGCATGATTCAAAGAAGAGGCTCTGAGGGCTCACACCCCAGACATATAACCTTGAGCCTCCAGCTTATAAGTGCATGCATGCATACACATTACCGAAGTGCATGAGCATGTGGCCCTACATTGCAGGCACACAACAAACGTGTCAGCTTCTCCGGAAAAAGCCCGGCAGGCCCATCGCTCTCTCTTCGGCATGGATCCAGACCACCTGCGCTGGAGGCATTCATGCAATGGGCCCATGCAGCAAATCTGGAGATGTGCACAGCCCACTAGCAGTAAAATGCACAGGCATGATCCAGGCAGTTCATGTACCCCACAAATCAATTTTGCTTGTAGCATCGAGCGATAAGGCTCATCATTGGAGGGGATCTGTAAATCGTTCAAAGCCATACCTCCACCCACTGTTGGTCCTAAGGGTGTCAGCATGTAAAACACTAGGGCACACAGTACACATGATTCCCAGCAGGCTGTTTTGCTGCTAGGGTCCGGCAAACAATCTAATTGCCACAATCCATACTGTGTGCAAGCCCCAGCCCCCACTCATCCCAAAACCCACTGATGCACAAGTGCAGTCAATCAATAGTGGAGGTAGTCGATCTAGTCCGTGTCAGCGTAGGCCTCAGCTTCAGATGTGCGGCTGTATACATATATAGATATCGACCTGGTACAGCACACACACACACGTACTATACATGCAGATAGGTAGCTGCCTTTGCAATATCACATGCCTCTTCAAGGCTCATCCCGGATGCGAGTGCTTCCTTCTTCGCTGTATGATATGCCACTGATTTCCTCGACTTCTTTTGCTTGTGATCATCATCATCTTTCGAGGCTGCGCCCTTCTTCTTTGCTTTTCCCTTGGCCTTTGCTTTTCCCTTGGCCTTTGCCTTTGCCTTTCCCTGGGCCTTGGCCTTTGCCTGTCCTTTTGCTTTTGCCTTAGCCTTTGGGGCTGTCTTCTGCTGTCCCTGCTTGGCTGCTGGGCGCTTCATGTTTTTCACATCATCATCGATATCATCTTCCTCCTCCTCTTCCGGCTCATCATCATCATCTTCTTCGCATGGCTCATCATCTGCCTCCTCCTCTCCATCATCTGCCTCCTCCTCTTCATCATCTGCCTCTTCCTCTTCCTCGTCATCATCCTGCATCTTTTTTGGCTTGCCCTTGCCCTTTGGTTT